AAAGGCCCCAAGCAGGTTACATGAAACAAGAATTTTGTGAGTGTTCCCCTAGGCCTAAGGGTATCGGGTTCCAACCAAAAACAGAGGGAGCACACAGAGGAGCAATCAGACTGGGTTTTGGTCTCAAGTCTGTGACTTCAGGCAAGTTGCAGATTTCTCTAAAATTCAGTTTGCTCATCTGCAAAATGGTGATGGTAATAATGTGTGTTGTTTTCCCACTAGGTTGTTAGAAGGAATGAATGAGATAAAGTAGATTAAAGTCCTTTAGGAGACAGTGTTGTGCAGAGCAGAGGTGGTGCCAGGTTTGAGACTTACTACATTTTCACATGAGAGAGAAAAAAACCTTGTTTCAATCACTGTTGTTTTGGATTTTCTAGTACACGAGGCCAAGCTGAATCCTACCTGATTTGAGCAGGATATGTCTCTTTCCATTTACTGATGCTTGTATTTTAATGTCTTTTAGAAAGCTTTTAGGCTTTTTCCAAAAAAGGTCTTGCATAGCTTTTGTTTGACACATTCTTTAGGTCCCTTACAGTTGTTAGAACCAAATGGTGTCACACTGCATTTGGGTTTTTTCATTCCACACTGTGTTTGAGCTGGTCCCGGTGGATATATATAGAGATTTAATTTATTTCTCCAACTGCTATTTGGGTTTCCTTTTGATGAATATATTTCATCTATCATTCTGCTACAAATAGAAATTTAAATTGTTTCATAGCTTTTTATGTTTTCATAGCATTTTAGTAAGCACTGCTAAAATTTTCCCCAGAGATGAACCAACATATACTTGTACCAGAAAGAATAAGCGCTTTCCTTTGTCCACATCCTTGCCAACACCATAAATATGAAACTTATTTTTGACCAACTCAATAGATTAAAAAAAACAATTCCTGATAGTTAACAGTTTTCACCCAATAACTAAGTTTGAGCATCTTTCTGTGTTTCTTGGCCATTTAGGTTTTAACTTTTGTCAATTTTCTATTGTTTCCTTTACCTAAACCCTTACAAATTTTGTCTTTTTCTTGCTAAATTATAGGTCTTTATATATTCCGGATATTAACCCTTTGTTGGTCAAATATATTGTAAATATCTACTAGTCACTTACATTTTTATACTTATAAAATGTTTACTATATGGCAAAAAAATTCATAAGAATATGTGTTTTTCTGTTATCAAACGTATTTGCTAACATATAGGAAATTCTATTGATCTCTATGTAGAGTGTGAATTCATCAGTCTTGATGAACTATTTATATTGGCTTGACTCTTTTTTCTAGGAAGAACATAATTTGCTAATAATGACAAATTGTGTTCCAATGTTTCTAATTTTTATGCCTCTTCTTATTTGTTGCTTACTTATTTGGTAAAATGATGAGAAACATTTGAGAAGTGATCCAAACCTATAACTGTACTACTAGTGACAATGTACACTGCTGCCTCATACAGGAATTTAAAAATAACTATTTTCAGACTGGGTGCGGTGGCTCACGCCTGTAATCCTAGCACTTTGGGAGGCTGAGGTGGGAGGATTGCCTGAGCTTGGGAGTTCCAGATCAGTCTGAGCAAGAACAAGACCCTGTCTCTACTAAAAACAGGAAAAAATTAGCTGGGCATTGTAGCCTGTGCCAGCTACGTGGGAGGCTGAGGCAGGATTGCCCGAGTCCAGGAGTTTCAGGTTGCAGTGAGCTATGATGATACCAGTGCAGTCTACCTGGGGTGACTGAGTGAAACACTGTCTCCAAACAAACAAAAAATCTCCTATTTTCTAATTTTTTCATGGATAAAATCCCTGACCTTCAAGAAATCTTTAGGTATGTATATTGGTATTTAATTTATTATTCAGAGATTTTTTTTTATATTAGCCTTAGGCAAGAAATCAGTATTTCCTTATTTCTGCTGCTTGAGCTAAAAGCACAAGAAAAGAAAATGAACAGAAAACCGATACCCATGAAATTTTAAGTACAAATATGAGGTAAGATGACGGAATCTTTGGATAAGCTCTAAGTCTGTGCAAAGTAACTAGATTCACTAGTCTCCAAAAAGTGGAGGAGAGGGATCTACCATATAATATTGCAAAATACTTGAGTGCCTTCTCAGAAGAACAAAACTTGCAGGCTTGCACATGAAAGCATCTATTAATAAAATGCTAGGCTAGTCTGTGGAACAGATGCTTCTCTCTCTTCCTCCTCTATTTCCATAGCAGTTTTCATGGATTTCTGACCAGAAGCTAGAGACAAAGGGCCAAGAAGTTATTTAGGACATCGTATATCTGCTTTTCTGGAGGCAGAGCTGGAAGGTGTTCATATCTCCTGGGGCTGCTCCTCCACTTTAATGCTGCAACTACAGTCGGATTCCTCTAGCCTGGCCTCCCCAGCTGATCTCACCCTAGCGCTGCTTTAGCCAGCCTCAGCTCCAGTCCTTTGGCACCTTTTTGGGCTGTGTGCCTCTTGGCCTGCAGAGGCTATGTGTCCTGTGACTGACTATGGAGGCATCAACTCCAGCTCCCTTCTTGAATATCTTAAGATATCTAATTTAGCTATCACTCTTGAATGATAGTTTAGCTAGGTATAATGTTTTCAGCTGATTTGAGAAATTTTCCTTCAATTCTCTGAAGGTGTTATTCTGTCAGCTTCAGGCATTCACGCTGCCAGTCTGATTGTTGTACCATGTGAACAATCTGTGACTTTTCTGTTAGCTTTTTCGGTTTTCTTTTTATATTTTGAAACTTTGTTATGATATATCAAGGTTTATAGTTTTATAAAATTCAGCTGTTTTGCCCTTGATGAATTTTCTCAGTTCTGGAAAATTCTTAGTCATCATTTCTCTAAATATTTAGTATTTCCTATCTCTCATTCTGTTTTTGCCTTCCGGACCTCCTTATCCCTTATCACCCCCTTCTGTAGTTTTTATCTTTCTCTGTGATGCCATAAACAATGGCTTCTTCTGGGTTTTTTTTTTTTTTTTACAAATTCTGTCTTCATATGGACTTAGTCTACTTTTTAATTTTATTAGACTCCATTTTCACTAATGGGCGGGGGGGATGTGCTTTTTTTTTCCCCCTAGGAGGCAGGGTCTTGCTATATTCCCCAGGCTGTTACTCAGCTCCTGGGCTCCAGTGATCCTCCTGCCTCAGCCTCCTGAGTAGCTGGGACTATAGGCTGGTGCCACTGTGCCTGGCTTGCCTTTTGATTTTTTACATATGTGCGTGCTTCTTTTGAATACCCTCTTGGTCTTGTTTCAGAGATAATATTCCTGTCTTTATTTTTAAGGGGCTCTCCTGTTTATCGGGTCTGCTGGCAATGGACGTCCTCCTGCACCCTTTGAGGGCTGGCTCTTGTGAGCACTCTTGCAGTCGAGCTGCTTCACGCTTGCCTGAGCTTGGCTCTCTCTGTTCTACTGCTCTGTCAACCTGACCAGTTGGCTTCCTGAATCTGAGGTTCTCTCTCTGCCCTGGTCCCGTGAATTCAGACATCATACATAGCACAGACCTGACTCCTGCTTGCCCCCAGGGCCGCAAGCAGGCAACCTGTCCCTGGCTGCCACCTGACGGCAAAGCAGAGAGCAAGTCCGGGCCTCTGCATCGCAAGATGCCTGGTTCCCTTTGCCCGCGGGGTGCTCAGCTCCTGCCACGTGTGGGCACTGAGGCCCCAGCCTCCGATGCGCATTCAATTCTCGCTCTACTTCCTCTGGGCCGCAGGGCTGCAGCCGTGCTTAGCACCACTAGAAGCTTCACTTCCGCTTTTGATCTATGGAGATGTTTTTTAAAGCACAGCTCTCCATTAAAACAAATTTTTTTCCTATTAATACTGTGTGTCAGGAGAGGAAAGAAACTTTGGAATTATTATGTAATTGTAGGAATATACCACAAGGTTGTTAACTAGGTGGTCATTTAAAAAAAATAACCTTTAGCTGAGAAGAATTGACCTCATTACTTTCTGACCTACTTTTCTGTTACATTCTCTAACTTTAAATGGGTTTCTGATCTATCAGTAATTATAATATTGATATTGTTGGTACTATTGTATTATTAATATAATTGGTACAATTATACAGATTTTTTTTTTTTTTTTGAGACAGATTCTCACTCTGTCGCCTGGGCTAGAGTGCTGTGGCTTCAGTCTAGCTCACAGCAACCTCAAACTCCTGGGCTCAAGCGATCCTCCTGCCTCAGCCTCCTAAGTAGCTGGGATTACAGGCATGCACCACCATGCCCGGCTAATTTTTTCTATATATTTTTAGTTGTCCAATTAATTCCTTTCTATTTTTAGTAGAGACGGGGTCTCGCTCTTGCTCAGGCTGGTCTCGAACTCCTGAGCTCAAACAATCCGCCCGCCTCGGCCTCCCAGAGTGCTAGGATTACAGGCCTGAGCCACCGTGCCCAGCCTATAGAGATTCTTAACATAAGAGATTTTTGAAAACTGGCCAAGATCATAAGATGCATTATTCAAATTGATGAAGAGATTTCCATTTACCAACCATTTCAATAGTGTCTACCTCCTGTCTTACTTTCTTGCAGTCTAGTATTTTAAGTCAGTGAGATCTTGGCTGCTAGTATATACTTCTGACTGGCAAGTCTGAGGCCATTACTTAGCTTGCTGTGTTCACATCAATAACAGCAGTATCACTTAACAACACAGATGGAACATGGAGTGAGGGACTGGGGAACAGACTCTGGTGCCAGACAGCTAGGTGTGAGCCTGGTTCTGCCACTTACAGCTGTGTGCCCTGAGGTGGCTCCTTAACTCCTCTGTGCTCAGTCTCCCCTTCTGTAAAATGGGGATCACAGTATCTACCCGATAGGGTTGTCAGGTGGCTCCTCTGAGTTAAACGTCTAAAACAACAGGGCCAACACATATAAACTCTGTATGTCACAAAGCCACTAAAAACATTTTAGATTTTTAAAAACAAATTTGATTTCCAAATGAAAGGCACTAATGTTTCATTAAGACATACATGGAAAGAAAACAGGTAATCAAAGGCTGAGTTTTCTAGGACATTACCTTTGTACACTCTTTTAATGACCAGGGGCCCGTCTCCAGACACAGACGAAGATTTTCCTCCATCCAGACTCAATCCCAGCCCAGCTGAGGTCTTCAGCACTTCAACACACAGAGCATCATGTACAGCCACGCTTCTCCCTGCAGCAGTGGTGTTCGTTAAGATAAGAACGACAGGGTTGTTCATCGCACCATCTGTCCAAGTTCCCCCAAATGCACTGCTTCATGCACCATGTACTCCTGGGACCCTCGAGTCTAGCTTGACTTGCTTACATTTGGTCCCAGAGTGAGGGTTGCTCTCCCAACTTGGGAGCTCCACTCCTGGCTGTGTTCCTGCTGTACCTGCATCCTTTGTTCTTCTGTGTGTTTTCTGCAAGCATTGGAGAGTGCTGCTATGCCCAAGCAGAAATCCCCAGAAAACAAACTGCTCTTGTTAAGCCACGCACAGGTAGTGCACGTCTCAGTGAAGACTGACGTCACACTTGGGGAATCAAATTCGATTTCCTGCCAACCCCGGTTACCAATGATAGGGGAATATCACCCTCTGGTACTAAAAGTCGGCAGCCCCAAAATGCCCAGCCTCACGTGAGATGTTAAAATTGACGCCAAAGCTCCCTGGGAGCCTGCAGAGCTTCCCTCCTTCCCCCTCCTGCCACTTGTGCTCCTGCGAGGGGAAGCTCTGCCTCCGGGTGTGGCTGTCCTCACGGTACATGCACGGGCTGCCGCCACCAGCATCTTGCTCCGCTGTGGGGAGAAGCGTTTCCATGGAGATGTCTGCTCCACAGCAACTAACTCGCGTGCGCTGTGTGCTTGTCTGGCTGGGGATCATAAACTTGCTTTTTATTTCCCATCCTTACGTGCTGCACCAGCCAAGGATGTCAGAGCTAAGTGCAAAGGTGCTTTTAGTGGATTGGTAGGCAGAGGAAGCATCACAGATGGATTAAACTGTCCACTTAATGTATTCGTTAGGGCTGAGACCAAGCTAGCATCATCACCTCCACACATAAAGGCCAGTCCATTATTGTGGCTTAAAGAAGGCCACTCACTCTACATGGTCTCAAGGACATTTACTAACAGGAGCAGCAAGATTTTTCAGCAAGTGACTTGCTGTTAAACAGGAAAACGGGCCTATTACAGGCACCTCAACTCTGGCTACATACTGGAATCACCCGGGAACATTAAAAAAGTACTGGGGCCTGGTCCCCAGCCCTCGGCATTTTTTTCCTTTTTTTCTTTTTTTTTTTTTGAGACAAGGTCTTGCTCTGTCACTCTGGCTGCAGTGCAGTGGCATCATCATAGCTTACTGCAACCTCAAACTCCTGGGCTCAAGCGATCCTCCTGCCTCAGCCTCCCAGGTAGCTGGGACTATGGGCGCATGCCACCATGCACAGCTAATTTTTCTATTTTTTTTGTAGAGATGGGGTCTCATTCTTGCTCAGGCTTCAACTCCTGACTTCAAGCGATCCTCCTGCCTCAGCCTCCCAAAGTGCTGGGATTACAGGCGTGAGCCTCCATGTCCGGCCACGCCTCAGCATTTCTGATTTAGTTCGCCTGGGGAATTTCCTAGGCATCAGGATTTTTTTTAAAAAGCTTTCCAGGTGCCTCTCATGTCAGCTTACTGCATCAGGCCCCGAGTCTGACACTCTCAGTATATGGTGGGGAATAACCGCGTCGGACTAGGTAAACCTGGGGCAGAGAGGCTGAAGAATAAATACGAAAGAGGAACAAGTTTGAGAATAGGAATACGCTTAAGCCCCTCTTGGTGCTCACAATTTGGTAACTCTGCAGTCTCTGGTTCAAGGCCAGATGCCCCGAAGGTGCCACAGGATTACCTAATGATTATAAATGATGGGAGAACCTCTCATATCAGAGTTCACAAGGCTTAAAAACTCTGTAAGCTGTTAGGACTAAGTGCTAACTGGCCTCCTTTGGCAGTTTGTTTCCAGGGTCCCACTGAAAATCCACCAGACAGTCGAGACGGTGCTGGGCAACAGCCAGCATGACAAGGGCTGGTGGTTTGAGGCATTTCTGACATTGGGAAGGGCCTCAGCTATCCAGGAGAGGGAAAGTGAGACGACAGAGCAGAAGGAAGACTGCAGACACCACCACAGAGGCATCCGGACAAGAAGCACTTCTCGTTTGTTCAATGGGATCAGAGCCATTTTCAGCAAAGCCTTGCTCAGGCCACAACAAAGGCGAGTGGTGCAAAGGAATTCAGCTACCCGTGACTTTATCAGGGAGAGATGCTGAGGAGAAACGAAAGGTCCCTCCCAGAGGGCCGTGATCCGGCCTGAACTTCTGTAGACTCTGCTTTGTCCTCTCGACTAAAGAGAGACACTGCTGCTGAGCGCCGTGGTGGGGACGCCCCAGAAGCCTGCAGTACTCATCCGAGGGCAGTCGCTGGCCTGCGCCGCAGGAACAGATGCCGCACGTAGTTCCGAGGCCCTGAGTGTGGACGGCACATAGAGAACCTGTTTCTGAACCTCTTCTAGTGAGCTCTTCACGCTTGACTAAGGCTGCAGTGTCTGTTTTCAAACAACAAAACACTTTTGCCCCCTCTTCTAAAACAGGAAAGAATACCAAACTTGATGCTTCCCAAGGATAAATCTTGGTTCTGGAATTTCTCCCGCAACACTGACTCCCCCATCACAGGAGTTTCCTGTTGTACTTACCAGTGCTAACAAGAATAGGTAATATGAAACATTTAGAGGAGCTGTCATGCAGTTACTTTAAATCTTCAGCAGCGTGGCTTAAACTGCTGGGGGATTTTTATAATTTATTTAAAACACTGCTTTTGCAAGAACCATCCCCAACACACTAGACTTTGCTACATCTAATTTTGGGGATGCAGAATTTATCTGTTATTTTCCTTTATGTTCAACCAGAATCTGCTCTGCTGACTGTTGAGGTGACGTCTTACCAATGCCAGGCTCCAGGGGGATGATCTTTCTGGACAGTGAGCCCTTCCCATTGGCCGTGGGAGGCTCCTGCCTGGTGGAGGGCCTGGGCTGATCAGTCCTTTTCCTGATGACCACGAGGGCATCTTTGTGCAGCTGTGCCTGGTGCAGAACCTTCTGGACATCCCCGTGGGCTAAGCCAGCCAATGAGGTGCCATTGACTGACAGAAGGACATCCCCTCGGCTCATGGTCCCTTCCTGAGAAGCCGCCCCCTGAGAAAACACCCTGTGGACCTGGGACAAGGAAAGGAAAAGGGAACAAAAAGCCAGATCCATTTATAACCTCCAGTAAAAGTGAGAGAGTAACTGCAAATCTGTAGTAAAGGAACTTTGTAATGACAAGTTTTGCAAATCGCACAAACAGTTGGTTTATCAAAAACATATATTCAGTGTCGGGGATGGAATTGCAAATGTCAACGTGAGTGTCTGCACACAGTGTCACTCAACTTCTTGTGGGTGTCTAATGTGTGCTTAGCACCCAGGGGGCAACACAAAGACAACCCTGGGCTTGTCCAGTGCAGGTGACCTCCTTATTATCCCAAGGGCCTGTAAGTGATGGAAAATTCTACGTCACTATTCTTGAGAAAGAAGTAACTTTATCAGCAAATGCAACTGTGGTCAGCCGATTCTGATATTTTTCTAGTGCTTCAACAAAATATTTAGGTAAATTATAAAGATGTAGAGAACTGTGTTTATAGGTGTTGGGATTTGGCCTATACGTCATGTCAGCTCTGTGTTAAAAATGCTGATCTCTGTCAATGAAAATATTACATACCACTTTCCCCACTTTTCCATTTTTTACGTTGGTAGCAGGAACAAAACCCAACATCTTTGAACCTACCGACTAGAATTTGTGTCCTGATCAAATTCTGGGCTGCGCAAAGAAGCATTTTCCTGAGAGCCCAATGACATCGCCACTTACCATGACTGGTTTGGGCTCCACGTCTGCCCCTCCTGCCACACTGAATCCCAGGACTGAGCCTTCTTTTCTAGTCAGCACTATGAAGCAAACATCTTCTTTATTCTAACGAAAAGAAACAGGAAATAGGTTACATCCCTTGTGCCCAGAGCAAGGAAGCCCTGGCACAGACCCTCCTGTAAGTGCCCATCACTGCCAACCCTAGGGATGCTCCAGCTCTCACGGAAGCATCAGACCCACCCCATTTCTACCGCCTGCGCCCCTGCTGGGTGGTGGCTACACGGCAAGTTCCAAGGATCCACCCTGCATGAACCAGGATCGGGGCAGGGGACAATGTAAAATTCCCGAGTCTTTAAGCCATTTGAGGCACCAGATTGTGTCTTCCCAAATCTGATAATTTGCCCACAATGGGAATTCTTTATTCTATAACTGTTTAAGTCTGCAATTTAGCAAAGCCAGTTCCAGCAACAGCAAAAAGACAAGTGCCAGGAGGCAGGATAAGAGCATCTCGAGGCCGTACGTTTAATACACCTCCCTCACGACGTTTAGGTCATTGGATTTCAGGTGCAATTAATTAACTGGCATCATAAAATATGAAATATTTTAAAACTAATGGTCAACTCATATTGAGACTAAAACATTCTTAGTAGTGTCCTAGCGTTAAATAATAAAAGACTGTCCTATGTTTCATGTATTGATCAAACAATATCTTGGAATAAAAGATTTTCACATAAAAAATTAGCTGGGCTAATTATTCTAAATTTTGACTTCCTTCACTCACATTCTAGAAATGATTCAGCAACATTGTAAAGATCAGCATTGCTAGGTTTCACGTGAAGTGATTGAGAATCCATCACTTCAAGGTGTCCTCAAACACAGCAATAGAAAAAGAATCTAATGATATCTCTTAAGGATTGATTCGATGAGAGAAAGTGAAAACGCTGACAGAAGAAACCACTTCTAATGTGCTGGGGAGGGAACACAAAAGTATTTAGTTTCATTAGTGAGTCACAAGGACTGACTCCAAGCATTTTATACATCTCTAAAGAAGTTCATTCAAACCAAAGCCCTGTATGTTGATACAAGAACGTCTTGCAGAACTTTTGGGGAGGGGGTTGGGATGTTGACTTCATGGGCACCTTCACACATATACATGCACAGACATGGGTGAGAAGGATGGGAGCTGCTTTGTAAACAAAAATGGGAACACGTGGCCCAGTAAACGATCTTTGTCCAGCTTCAGGGATGTAATGTTGATGCTGTAAATATGAATACTTGTTATATATTTAAGTGTCTTATTGGAGCAAAGAGACAGAATATTTGAAAATGGGAGGACAAGTTATCACGAAAATTTTAATATATTCAAATTTTTTACCGGTGGTGTTTGAGAACACAAGTGTGTAGAAGCTGTCAGGCCAAAGTTTGCCTCTCTGAGAAGCTTAGACCAGCATCCGGGAAGCCAGATCAACCATTGACAGCTCTTCAAGGTTTGGGCTTGTTGATGTCAAAAGACCAGGGCTTGTTTTTGGCCTCTCTGATCTCCCACAGCACCACCAGAAGGCCACAGGAAAGAGTTTCGTTCAGTTCTCTTTTTACCGCCTATAAACCATACTCATTGGAAAAAAAGCAAGGCAGGAAACTTCTGGACTGGAGATGACAGACTAAGACTGTGTCTGCTCACTACTCCTCTCTGAAATCCACTGGAGACAATAAGAAAATAAGAAAGGGAAAGGAAAGCTGTGTTTTAAGTAGGAATGACCTGCAACACCAGACCTCAACATTTGCCTGGTGGGGAATTTGAGGGTGAGGGAGCCCAGAAGATGCCCCCAAGGGCAGCCCTTGGCATCCTGTCTCTATTTCATTGCAGGTCCCTGAAAATGTACATCTTGTTTGTGAGGTTGGTGGACACTGCCTGGTTTTCTCCTTTTATATTTTATCTAATACCGTAAAAATGCTTGCAGCAGAGGGGGCCTGGCAAAGTGCGACCCAACCTGTGCCACCTTGACTGGCCATCCCAGAGTGAGACGTCCACGTGTGAAATGCTTACTTGCTATAACAAGTCGAAGGAGGAAGGGAGTGATGGGTTGTTCCCTTTTACTGAAGGTGAAAAGTGCTTGACGTCTCAAGGTGTTTCTTAACTGCACACACCCAAGCCAGTGGGCCGAGAACCAGAAGGGAATGGACGCTAAAGGGTACTGGTCTCCTCTCTTCCACCCCATCGCCTCGCCATAGATTCCAAGCCTGATCCTTAGCTGAGCGACCTCACAGCCACTCTGGGTGATACTTGGATTTCTGGAACACATTAGTCACTCAGGTATATTGCCACCCATGGTCTATCCTGTTAATGTGTATTATATCTGATTTACTTAAAGATGTTATTTTTAATTACTAATTAGCTTTTTTGTCTTGTACTCCGGGGTTCAGATGCTCTTATGCAGTTGACCCTTGAACAACGTGGGTTTGAACTACACAAGGGCCACTTATACTTGGATTTTCTTCTGCCTCTGCCACCCCTGAGACAGCAAGACTGACCCTCCTCTTCCTCAGCCTACTCAACATGAAGATGACAAGGATGAAGACCTTTACAATGGTCCACTTCCACTTAATGAATAGTAAATACATCTTCTCTTCCTTGTGATTTTTTAAAATACTATTTTCTTTTCTCTAGCTTATAAGAATACCATACCTAATACATATAACATACAAAATGTGTTAACTGTTTTTGACCCCCATGTTATCTGAGGGTCATCTGTACTCCAGGGCAAGGGCAGGGCTGCACGGATGGACTCCTCTTTCACCAGCAGGTGGCTCCCTCGACACTTAAATGCTCATGATCAGTCTTCAGCATTTCCAAGATGCCTCGTACTGCTTGAGGACCCTCTGCAGACACGCTCCAAACGGGAGGGTGTGATAGATGGTGACTAGTTGCTCCTAGGGAATTAAGACAGCAGTGACACCAACCTAGCACGCGAGAAAGGTCCAGCTTCTAGAGCCAGCTGGCAGCAAGTGAGGCAAAGGCAGACTATGCTGTAAAATTCAGAACCCCACACGTCCTCTCTGGGACTCGGGGAGGGCTCTCCTTGGCTGTCGGAGCTGGTGGCCCACACATGGCACTAACGCTGTGTTTTCCGTATTTCACTCACCTCTGATTGTGCTTTCGCTTCCTGAATGAGGGTTAGGACAGTAGATTTTGATCCCACTGACGATAAAACAGACTGTAATCTTTGCTGTTCCCCTGCCGAGGCTAGAAGTCGATCCAAACTGAACAACAGAAATATATTTGAAGAACATTAAAGAAGAAAGCAATTTCTCCAATTTATAAGGATGCATTTAAAATGATCTCCTTCTACTGTACTGCAGGTATTTTCTGACCTTCATCTCTCTCTTGGTCATAAATCCCATTCCAATCGAAGACCGGAATCCCGAACGGCGTCATTCCCTACCAATGGCACAGGGAATCAGTATGGATTCAGGGGCGCCTCCACGATGTTAGGGGACCAGTACAGGAGTTTAACAGAACATTTCTGACATATTTAAAAATATTCAATGTATAGGCACAAGTGAAATATTTTAAAATATGTTAGAAATTCCCCTTAACTCCAGTTGCCTTCAAAGGCCCGAATTCTCTGAGCTGCAGCCTTCTCTGTCCTCCCACCCCCTCATGTTGCTTTTGATTAAGTGCCATGTCCTGTAGAATCCTGTCCTCAGAGCCACAGTTGGGCCGACACTTTTCCCTGCAGGCACTTTCATTTTGCCAGTAACGATACTAAAAACGAAGGGGGCTAACTGCAATGTGGGGTCCTGGAATAGTAGAAGGACATTAGTGGAATTTATTCAGCAAAATCTGAATAAAGTCTGTAGGTTAGTTAACAGTCTCGTTCCAACATTAATGTCTCATTTTTGACAAACGGACTGTGGTTATGTAAGATGTTAACATGAGGAAGAGTGGGGGAGAGGTACGTGGGAACTCTATCATCTTTGCAACTTTTCTATAAGTCTAAAATTATTCCAAACCAAAACAAGCTTATTTAAGTAAAAGTAGGAGGCAGATACTTACTTAACTGACCAGCTTTTTCCGGAAGGCAGATCCTGGGCAGTTTTGCCTGTATCACTGGCTGGACTGGGTGTTCCAGGCTCACTGGTTTTAGGGCCACTTCCTCCTGGACAGGCTCTTTTCCCACCCTTCTCGGGATAGGAAAGGCCTCCAGCCAGGGAGCTGGGCGACCTCCTGGGGACAATCTCCAGCTCGGTTTTGAAGAGCATGGCGCTGGGCCCTGCCGAGTAGTCCTCGCTGCAGAGCTTGTCGAGGTCCGGCATGCTCAAGGCTCTCAGTTCCTGCAGCCTGGAGCGGGACACGGGCGAGGGCTGGGCATGGCGCACTGAGGACTTGTTCCTCTTGATGGGAGAGGCTGGGGTCACTGTTGCGGGGGGAATTCCTGAAGGACCAAGGGATTTCTTTGGGTCGCAACCAGGGCCTTTGTTACTGGTCTCTGGCAGATGCTGTCGGGAGATGGTCAGCGTCATGCTGGATGGGGACTTGGTCATCTGGGGGAGAAGGGCGCTGGTTTCACTCTGGCTTTCACTGCAGGAACTCAAGCTGCGTCTCAGCGACCTGACCGCTGCATCCACGGCGTGGCTGAGGCTCCCCGAAGCAATGCTGCCAGAAGACCGTCTCCCAATGGGAGGCTTGGAGCTCACCGACAGAAAAGGGGATGCCCCAGACTTGGCTGTAGGCCTGTCAGAGTGGGCCAAATTCTCAAAAGACTTGATCCGCTGCTTCACAGAGAAAAATGAGGTAGATTCATGGGGCCAGTTCTGTTCATAGCAGTAATGTCTTCTGGTGACTTTGATTTTGTCTGTGACTAGGCAGCTCGTCTCCTGGACTGAAATGACATCCCCTTCATCTGTTGCCGGAAGGTTCCTCGATGTTTCCTGTAGAGGCTTTACACTATACACACCCTGTCCATTAACGAGGCCGAGAATACCACCTTTGCATGCCTTTGCCTCGGGGAGACCACCTCCCGTCACAGGCAGCTGACTGTCCCGAGGAGAGCGAGCAGGGCTGTGTGGAGAATGACCCTCCCGTCCAAAGTGGCTTAAGAACTGGGCTGGCATGGAGTAGGTCCTGGTTGCTGGCCTTGGTGTGAAGTACGGATGGTCCTCCCCCGCAGGGCCTGTTGCTACGCCATTCTTGGGCATCCCTAGGGAGTCTGACATCTGGCGGGATTTTCCCTGGGAGGAATCTGCCTTTTTAGCAGGCAGCTGGGGCGAGGAGGAGGAAGCCAGTTTCGCCATGCTGAACGATCGGTGCATTTCTTGCTCTCCCTGGGGGGCGTGAGAGGTGAGTAAGGATGGATGATTTGGGGACGATTCTACTAACTGGTGACAGAGTCTGATTTCACTCTTCTCCTGGCAGTGGCTCTGGGCCGAGGACCCTCCCTGCCTGTCACATTCAGCTGGCTTGTCACCACATGCATTCTTTGGCACACTTTCAGAAGCAATCTCAACTATTTTCAGCTGGTTTGTTCTTTCTAGGGCATCACTAGCAATTGTGTTGCTTCCCTTCTCGCCGGTCAGCCTGGGCTGGGCTGCATCTGACGCTGACACCGCGTGGCTGGGTGGACGCTGCTCGCCCTGCCTGCTCCCTGCCGTGGACGCGCTGCTCCTGGGTGCCGCTGGGCTCCCCAGCTCGGAATCGGCACGGGGCACCCTGCCCTCTGGTCCACACTTGGGAGATCTGGGGGCAGTTGGGCAGCCTCTGTCAGGTTCTGAGTGGACAGCCGTGTGGGACCTACTGCATGCAGCCTGCTCAGGAAGGGTCTTGGGGGAGGTCACAGGTGAAATGAACGTCCTGATGCTCATGTCTGACGCCAAGGGCTTCGGTGACCCAGAGGCAGCAGGGGGCGGCTTGCTCTCCAGCACACACTGGGGAGACCTGGGGCTGGCTGCGGCGTTTTTGTCGGGTTCCTCGTGGTCAGCCAGGTGGAACTGCTGTGACGCTCCCTTAGAGAGCATTTTGTGGGAGGCCTGGGGTGAAGTGAGGGGCTTCCTGTAGTCCAGACCCCCAGCCTTTGCAGCGTTGGTGGCGGGGGCCTCGGTGCTGACTCTGCCTTTGCTCTTGATGCTAAGCCTCTTCAGCTTAGGGCCACACTTGGGTTTCTGACAGCTACTCAGAAGCGTTTCCACTGGACTTTTCTTAGATGGGTCTTTATTTTCCAGGTTCGTTTTTGGCTGCGGAGGGCTCTGCAGCACAGCGACCCCCTTCGTGTGGCCTGAGCTCCACAGCTGAGTTTTGGAGTCAGGACTGCTGGCCGGTGTCGTGGATTGCTCCTTCTCAGCCTTGCCCTGCACGTGCATGCCTTGCGTATTTTTGTTTGTTTCTTTAAACCAGGCCATGATGGGCCTCCTGGCAATCACTTTTGGCTTCTGTAGCAAGTCATCCAGGCTTTCAGAGATGTGTAGGTTTGTAAAAACAGATTCTCCAATCTTCGGGACATCCACACCTGAGGAGGACGGATGCTCAGTGGCATTAATGTTTGTGTCACGTTTATGTGGGGTTTCATCACCCAGAAAGTCATGTTCCAAACCATTTACCATGTTAGGGCAGCTGAGAGTGACCGGGGGCTTGTGGAGATGTCTCGTGATGTTAGAAGGGGGACTGTTTTCCACGGCTGAGCTAGCGCTGGTGTCATCTACTGTTTCTTCTGCACGTAAGGCCTGTGGCCTGTGGTTCTGTGAAATGCTTATGTCCACGTGAGTTTCGTGCTCCGGAGAGCTTGTATCCAAGAGTGAAAACGGTGGGGAAGAGTTCGGGATCGAAGTGCACGGGGCTCCTGGCAAGAAGGTGGCTCTCTCACGCAGACTCCGCACCGGCTCGCTCAGAGCGCTGTGTTTCAGTGGCAGAACCTTGGCTGAGGCAGGGCAGGGGGCGGCCTGGGCGGGAGGATGAGCAGGACTCGAGGGCGGATCGGGGCAGCCACTCGTGGAACAGATTTCGATTTGCTCCTCCTCAGACTCCGGGGCATCTTGCTTGTGCGAAGAGCCATGGGAGGGAGGAGGCGACCAGCTGTCCCTGGCTGAAGCTCGTGGGGCTTCAGTGAGCGACTCGGGGTCAGAAGACGAGTCCTCAGCATCGCCGTACATGGAAGAGAGAGATGGCTCTGTGCTGTCGCCCAGGCCCGAGAGGGAGGTGCTGTCTTCATGAAAACTGCTAAAATTTCTAGAGTAGTTGCTCAGAAAGTTTTTGTTCACAGTAAAGTGTTTGTCAGGATTAATTGAATCCAAAACCGAAGCCTGGGAGGCCCACTGTGCTTGAGGGAGGGGACCCGCAGCCCGGGCCCTCCTCGGGGAGGACACCTGGCCCCCCGTGACCGCAATAGGCTCAGCCTGGCGGGAACTCCCGTCTCCAGCTCCTGCTGGAGGGTGGCCCTGAGAACTGCCCTGTGGACTCCCACGCTGTCCTTTCTGGGAAGATGGAGACCTTGCCTCAGAAGCATCCAGTTCCCTGATGAGTTTGTCGATGTCCGTCACAGGGCTCTCTCTACTCCCCCCCGGGCAGCAGTGCCCTGAGACACTGCCACACACTCCTTTGGTCGTGTCAGTGGATCGCGGCAGGGAGAGGCTGGCCTGCGGTGTCCTTGTAGACACAGCATCTGTTCCCTCCATCAGAGCAGACTCCCCAGAGTTTTCAGGTGCACGGATTCCTGTCGTTTCCAAAGCCTCACTGTGGTTACTGGGAGCTCCCTGTCTCTTTTCCTGGGATGTGAGGAGGTCTCGTGACAGGATGGTACTAGCTGGTGTGACTCCCTCTGTCCCAGGTCCTGCTCCCCTGAGAGCAGCCACACTCCTGGTGCTGTGGGGCAAGCTGGCTTCTGAAGCAGTCTTGCTGCAGCCAGGAGGGGCCGCTGCCTCCTCCCCTGGGGACGTGCTGCCCTCTCGGGCCAGTCTGACTGGCGATCTACCCTTGGACTTGGAGTCCCCGGGTGACACCCGCTGGCCAGGGTTCTCGGGCTGAACGACTTGCTCTGCGCCTACCGAGGTCTTGCTGGGGTCAGGGTGTGCGGCCCCCTTCTTCCCTGGGGGAGGGATGAGGTCTGGGGAGCTGTCCAGTCCTGTGTGGAAATGTAAACAAAAGGTGAGGCTGTAGTGGAGATAAAGGGGAAAATGTGAGAAAACAAGAAACCTCTCAATTGTTAAAAATTGTAAAGTTATAAAGAGTCTCAATTTTTTTTCCTTTTTCAGAAAGACATTCCACAGCCTAATGTAGGCCTTCTTGTCTTTCTGTTTTTGTCCCTAAAATTACAGAGCACCCATCTCTAACAAACACCACCCTGCTTTAGACACTCTAAAATAACTCAGACTAGCTGGCAGAATAAATGTTCAGGTCTGCCTGTTTTTCTTCCTTTTGGTTATTTTTAAGGAGCGGGGACTCCGGAAATCCTTTGCCTGGGTTTCTTTACACAAGCCACTCTCTGATGGCAAAAGTTGCAGGGGTCAGGCTGTTGTTCTGTTTGATTCTTCAGGTTTTGCATGATTCAGCAGAGGCCTCATAACTCTCTCAGTCCTGGCATCTGTCCAGTGATGTGCAGGCTTCTTAGCCTCATGCCTTAGGAAGAGAGCGACATTGTACTTAAGAGACATCCTTTTTAGTGCAGAAGATGAGGCTAATTGGAGAGAACATACAGAATGCTACAGATGGGATACAAGTCTACACGGAGGTTTAGCTTTCTTGACAAACTTCAGAGGAGGGGAGAGCTAGAAGGCCAGATTATCCCGAGAAGCCTTGACAGAGGAAGTGGGGACTCAAGTGTGTTCACAAGGGATAGTTTGACCCGAGAATGAGGAGGAGCAAGGTGAGGAAGACAACAGAAGAATTAATATTGTTAAAATCTCCATACTACCCAAGCTATCTACACAGTCAATGTAATCCCTATCAAAATTCCAGTGACATTCTTTACAAAAATAGAAAAAACAATCCCAAGATTCATATGGAACCAGAAAAGACCCTGAACAGCCAAAGCAATCTTGGCGGGGGTGGGGAGGTGAAATTTGGAGGAATCACACTACGTGACTTTCAAAATATCCTACAAAGCTATAGTAATCAAAACAGCATGGGACTGGCATTAAAACAGACTCACAGACCAACAGAACAAAATAGAGTGCCCAGAAATAAATCCATGCATCTATAGCCAACTCATAAGGGTACTGAGAATACACATTGAGGAAAGGACAGTTTCTTCAATAATGGTGCTGGGAAAAGTAGATATCCACATGCAGAAAAATGAAACTGGACCCTTGTCTTTCACTGTGTACAAAATATGAACTCAAAATGGATTAAAGAGCTAAATGTAAGATCCAAAACTAAGAAACTACTAGAAGAAAACATAAGGGAAACGATTTATGACATTGGACTGGGCAAGGATTGTTTTAGATAAGACCTGAAAAACATAAGCAACAAAAGCAAAAATAGACGAATGGGATTAAATCAAACTAAAAAGCTTCTGTACAGCAAAGGAAACAATCGACAGAGTGAAGAGACAACACCCAGAATGAGAAACAATATTTGCAAACTATGTATCTGACAAAGGGTTATAACTAGAATATATAAGGAATTCAAACAACTCAATAGCAAAAAAGCAAATACTAATTTTAAAATGGGCAAAAGACCTTAACAGACATTTCTCAAAAGAAGACATACAAATGGCCAACAGGTATATATAAAAAAAAAACAAAAAACTCAACATCACTAATCATCAGACACATGCAAACCAAAACCACAATAAGATACTGCCTCGCTCCAGTTAGAATGGCTATTTTCAAAAAGACAAAGGATAAACAAGCATTGGTGAGGATGTGGAGAAAAGGGAACCCTTACACATTGTTGGTGGGAATGTAAATTAGTACAGCCATTATGGAGAACAGATGGAGGTTTGTCAAAAAATTAAAAATAGGACTACCATATGATCCAGCGTTCCAGATTAATCCCACTACTGGGTATATATCCAAAGGAAATGAAATCAGTATGTCAAAGAGATATTTGTACCCTTATGTTTATTGCAGCACTATGCACAATAGCCAAGAAATGGAATCAATCTAAGTGTCCAATAACAGTTGAATGAATAAAGAAAATGTGGGATATATACACAATGGAATACTCTTCAGCCATAAAAAAGAATGAAATCCTGTCATTTGTGGCAACATGGAGGAACTTGGAAGACATTATGTTAAATGAAATAAGGCAGACACAGAAAGACAAATAAATAGCATATGATCTCACTCACTCATATGTGAAATCTAAAAAAGTTGACCTCATAGAAGTATAAAGTAGAATGGTGGTTACTAGAGGAGGGGGTGGGGAGGGAGCTAGGGAGACACTGGTCAGTGGGTACAAAGTTACAGTTAGATAGGAGGAATATGTTCTAGTGATCTATTGCACAGTAGGGCGATAGAGTTAACAATAAGGTATTATTGTATTTCTCAAAATACCTAGAAGAGGAGATTTTGAATGTTCCCACTGCAAAGAAATGACAAACGTTTGAGGTGATGGATATGCTAATTACCCTAATTTCATCATTACACAATGTATACATGTATCGAAACATCACATTGTATCCTATAAATGTGTACAATTACTATGTGTCAGTTAAAAAAAGAAGATAATGGAATAAAAGTAGAGAAGCAAGAAAGAGCATGAAACCTCAGAGGTGGCAGGGAAAGGTGATACGTGCTGGTGGACAGTGGGAAGTCAAGTCACCCCTGAGACAGATTCCAAGAGCCACTCTGTCCTGGAGGTGCCTCCTCATGAGGCCGTGCATGCTCTTGGGCTAATCTGTCCACCTCTGGCACACAGCATCTTGCACTGGGGGGAAAACTAGCATAAAAAAGAACAAAGCTGGCCGGGCA